ATATATATATATATATATATATATATATATATATATATATATATACATATATCAACATAAACATCAATTGACGGTGATATTACAGCAGTGTTATAATTTCCTGCTCGATGATGGAAGTGTTACACAATACTCACGTTATATTGCATTTACATTGTTAAATATAGTAAAAACATATTATGATTGGTCCAATCAAGTCTGACTGTCAATTAGATCCAATAATAAAATACGCAACAACTGATTATGTGCTTGCTGCAACCACAGAGCAATTGCTGAGCTATTGGCGTTGCAGCAGTGACGATATCTAAGTTGCTCTAATCAGAATGTAACCATAGTATATGCCATCCCACAACCGATTTCTGGTGGGTCCAATCAGATCACGCGCAACTATGTAGTTGAGGTACTAAAGTAACTGATCAATCATACACTATCATTACACCAAAATAATTAGAGTTGCAGCAACTATGCTGCTCGCAAACAATTAAATATTTCTTTACTATTTAAATATTACATGCAACCATATCTTTTCTTTCTGTATAGAAAATTGTAACCTTGATATTATATTACTGATAATTGACGTTTACTGGGATAAGGTCAAGGGTCACGTTTCGCCTTTCGCTGCATATCATTTCCAAGTAGAAACACAATTCAACTCTTTAGATTTCTTTCTTGTGGGATTCTTTTCAAAGATTCTTGTTGCGAGTTTCGAAGAGCGTCGAGAACGCTTCGACATTCCTTGTTTCTTACATTGCTAAGAGCGTGAAGAATAGAAGGTTGCAACGCTTCGAGCAAATGGTCATGTGTCATAGAAATATTTTAACTGATCGAATCACAAAGGATACAACGATCTCGAGTGAACGAATCGCGTGGAGAGAACAACTAATCGCGATGTGCGTCTCGAAGAGAATGCGCGGTGAAGCATTCGTGAAGACCAAGTTTTATGTCTAGTGTCCTCACGCGTGTAAAATGCCGACACGTAAAGCTGAACATGATTGTGCGAACGAGCTACGAATACAAACTTCCGCTTTACGATTAAAAAGATGCGTATGCCTCATTTGCATTTGAACAGTAATTGAAATGATGTCCAAAAATGACACTTGCAATCGATCAAACATACCTCTGAAATATTCCAGACACTTTCCGTTGTAACAATCAATAGCCGCAAAATTGATGTGACAAGATAATGAGAAAATGTAGGTTAAAAAGGAAGGTCACGCTAATTTTACAATTGATTGTTAGAATGAAAGGAAAGTGGAGAATTTAAATAGAACGTCTTATTCGCATTCGAGTCGCTCACACTGAGAATATTACACTAAGAAAAATAATGGTTGATCTAACTAAAATTAGTTATTTTTAGCCCCAAACAAACATCATTTTGTAGTAAAATAGTAGCAATAAC